GTCCGCGTTGGTCTTGTTGTTCGAAATGCGATTGAGTGATTCAATATCGTCCTGGTATTGGCGAAGGCTCTCCACCAACCGATTGTTGGTCTCCGCCTCCTCGAGCAGTGCCGTGCCCAGAGCGTCCAGATCCTTCACCCGACTGGCCATGCGCTGCGCATCCATTATGATCTGGCCCACGGATAGGTTCGACATCCTGCCCAGTCAGTCCAGTTGCAATTATGGGGTTTATATTGTTTTTGAGGCCAGGCCCTCTGCTGCTGGCACTGCGAAAACAAAGGGAACGGCTTAAATTTGCGCACTTTTTGGGGCCTATGTACGGGGGCTTACGTTTGGTGCGGGTTTGGTGCAGCTCCGTCCTTAGCGTAGTAGCTTCATTTGTTTTTTCGGCCGAAATATGTAAGAAAAGAAACGATTCTAATAGAAATTTTGACGACGACCCAATTATTGGCTGACAGCTTATTAAATCCCAAACGCCATCGGATATCGAATAAATCCCTAACGCCACACCATTTATGTAAAAAAATACTGTTTCATCACCTGATATACCGCAAATATACCAAACATTTAAATTTTAATTTTTTTTTCTGATTTCGTTTTCTAACTAAATTAAGTAAATACAATAGTAAACTTTTTGGCTCGAGCTTTCTATTTTGTGCAGAATTTTTAATCCGCTTATCCGAATTTACTATTTAAAACTCGAATGAAGTTAAAAGGTGAAGCTACGAGCTTTATTGTCATATTTGTAAAGGTCATTAAGAAGCTATCAGTACAGATTTTGATCTTATCGCGAAAAATGGAAGACTTACCATAGAATGGACATAATGCTATGTTCTTAAACGATCATGCATGCATAATTCTAGTTATGTCTATTTAAGTACCTTAACTCTAAGTGGTATTCGTATAAGTACAAACAGCAAAGGTTTTGTCATTCAAAGTGGTAGATAAAACAGAGGTAGAGGAATAGCATGGTACATCGGTCGTAGGGATGTACAGACTAAAGATCACGAGATTGCGATTATACGCCCACGCTGTTGAGGCTGCCGGAGGAGAGGTTCTCGGAGCGACTGGACAGGCGGGGACGCTTCATGAGTACACGACCCGGCTTTCCGGGATTTTCGACGGGACCCGTCTCTGTGGATTGATTTAGATTGTTGTTGTTGCCATTGTTGGAGCCATTGCTGCCACCAGCACGTTCCAGCGTGCGTTGTGAACGGCGCAGCGAGGAGGAGGACATCCTGCGTAGGCCGGGATCGTAGTCGTAGCTTGATGGTCGCTGATAGTAGGGCGCATCCTGGTCCGTGTCGTTCTTCTCCTCCATCCCCTGCTGCTGCTGGGCCAGTGGATTCAGAGTGATGTGTATGTGACGTGTTCGCTGGCGCTGCTTGGTGGGCGAGCAGTTTCCCAGTGGCACAAAGTCATCCCTCAGCTCCGCCATCCGTGGCTTGTTTGGATTGTTCCCCCTGCTCCGGGAACTCCTCCGCCGACACACACACAAGCATATGCTGATCAGGAGCAGAGTAAGCACTGCTCCGCCGCCAAGTGTTCCCGTCAGCATGGGACTCATATTGAATGTCTCGTTGTGACTGGGAGTGGTTGTGTCTCGGTCGCCCATTTGTAGTGTTGGCTCCTCCGTGGTGCTGGTCTTGGGGCGTTGGGTCCGCCCCTGCTTGAGGGCACTAAATTCGGACGCAGAGACCGCACTGAAGGACTGCAACTTAAACTCGTACATGGTGGCCGTCTCAAGGGGGGCAATTTTAAAGCTTCTAGCATGAGCTCCTTCAATGGTTGCCTTGAAATATTCCCCTGCTGAGGACGAGGGTCGATAGTAGGCGTAGTATCCTGTGATCAGGTGTTCATCCGCATCGCTAGCTAAACTCCAGTGCAGCACCACAGCGGTTTCTGAATATTCCTCGATTTCGAGGAGCTCTGGCACCGGCATCGGATCCAATGCTGCACCGGGCTGCAAGTAAAATTTCGCCGAGGTATTACTTTCCTTATTGTCGTTGTTTGAGTAAACGGCTAAGATGCGGAAACGGTAGGTGTGTTGAGGCTTCAGATCCGTCACTGATGCCGTGAAGCTCTTGCCCAGCTCGGAGTTCCATTTCGGTTTTCCGTACGGTATATTATCGTTGGTAGTCTGCCAATTCTTGCGCTTGCCAACCATGCGGTACTGAACCTTGAAAATGACAATGGGCAATCCATCATTTCGGGGCACCATCCAGCGCAACATCACGGATTCATCACTGAGGCGGGTAACATTTGGAGGAGACGGTGGATACATCTGCTTCTGCTTGGAACCCTGGTTCGGCTTGGGGCGGTGTGTACCCCCCGATTCGCGGGGTTCCTGGATCTGCTTGGGATTCACCTGCAGCAGGGTACCCGCACTGTGCTCACCGAGTCGATTCCGTGCAAAGCACTGGACATAGCCGGCATGACGCTTTAGAACGCTGTGCAGTATCAGAAAATTGTTTGATAGCTCAGCCTCAGTATCATCGATGCTGCTGTGGCCGTTTAGCAGCCAGTAGATCTCTGGCGAAGGCACTCCTGTGGCCTCACACTCCAGCTTTAAGCGATCGCCCTCGTTGGTGAGATCGGCCCAGGGTGGACGCACAATCTGCGGCGGCTGCTCTACATGCACCTTTATGTAGTGTTCCAGCGCTGGCCGCACTCCATTATCTTGAAAGCAAATATAGGTGCCCGCATCCTGAACACGGGTGTCGGATATCTCCAAAGCGTGTCCAAATACTTTTGATCGCTTGTTCTTAACAGCTCCGACAACATCGGGACTACTCCATACAACAGTTGGTGGCGGTGAGCCAACTCCAGGACACAGCAGCAACAGGGAGCTCCCTTCACGAATGGTAATTTCTTGGGAGCTCGGCTGTCCCTTCAGCAAGTGTGGGGACTTACTCAGAGACCTCTGCTCTGGTGTAACCTGTAGTTGCAGCAAGCCGGGCAGCTGAATTCGCTCGCCAGAGGCTGGATTGGTGGCCTGGCAGGAATAACTGCCTGATGACTCGGAGGATACATTGCTCAGAATAAGATTTCCATTGGTTCCGATAAACTCCGGTTTTATTTCCACTCCATTTCGGTAGTAGGACCAACTAGCAGATGGATTGGACTGCACTTGTTGTCCGCAGGACCAGAGCACAGAGTTCCCAGCAGCCACCCGCCATTGAAGGGGTGATTCCGATTCCTGGGCACCCACCAGGCTAGTGCTGGCCAACTCCAGTCGGGCGATGGTGGAGGTGACTACCAGCGGACCGAACCAGCCAACGCATCGGTACTCCCCTAGAGTGTCCTCTCGAACGAGCACCCTCAGACGCGAGATGGCCGCCTCCTGGGAGACATTCGCTTTGGCCGTGCCTGTCCTAAGGTACTTGAACCCCGCTCCCTGTGATCTGCTGGACCGGTGGCTCCATTCGAAACGCTCTGGCTGCAAACTGGTCTCGCACTCCAGCACCACCTCGTCTCCCAGGGGCGCCACCAAAGATTCGGGTGCGCGAAGAATTCGCACGCCAGGCGATGGATGCGAGGGATGCGCGGGATGTGCAGAGTGGGCAGGATGGGCGGGGGACTTCTCCAAAACCGGAATTGCTTCGAGCCGCGACGTCAGCAGCGAAAAGAGCAGCAGCGAGGATGTGAGCAGCGTCATTTGAGGGGGGTACTGCAAATCCCGGGGTACACCCGAAAATATCGTTAAATTGTTGAACTCAAAGGATTAGGAGTTACTGTCGTCACTTACCTTGTTATGTGATTTTTGACTGGTTCTAGGTGGGGAAACGCGTTTGCGTTTGCGCAGTTAACAATTTTCACTCTCGGCTATCGCGCATCACTTATGGCTTATATTCTTATGTGTGTCTGTGTGCGTGCGTGGAATCTCGGGCCTAAATTATTTATGCACATTACACGTTAACGACGCAGGTCCATAAAATCATTGTATCTTTAATTCGGGCTTCGATCGGGCACCGAAGCCACCGGACAAGCACATGCACTCAACAAGTCAAATAAACAATGGCATTTATTATTCCATGGGGATGCTGGAACTGGAACTGGAGAAGGAACCGCGACGCTAGTTCAGATGCATTGCTTCGTTCACCGGCGAACCGGTGGTTCCGAATTCATCGGTTCATCGCGCTACAGTGGGCTGCAGTTGTATGGTATCAAATCAAATACATTTATCTTTACACATTAAGATATTTATGTTAATAACGAGTGCAGTTATGAATTTATTATTTGAGTTAGTAATTGTTTTAGGCTTATGTATTATAACACATTCTTAAATTTAGTACTTTGTAATATCATAACAAAACTACACAGCTTGGAGAAAAATTCTTGCCAAACACAAAGTCAAGGTAAAAGTTACGAGGCCAACTGTTTGAATTCCAGTTCTAAAAGGCCTCCAGACAAATTTGAATAAGCACTTTTAATGGCCTTAAAGGAAAGCTCCAGTTTAGGGTGATTCAGACGCTCAATAATGTAGTGAAAAAAAAAAATAGAAAAGGATGTAAAATTAATTTTATAAATCATTGTTTTTACTTACTAAATCCTTATAAAGAGTGGTAACAAAATGAATAACCAAAGGATCTTTCCGGCGATTTAAAGCTTTGTCCATAGTGTATTCACTGAACTCCAGGAATTCATCCTCTAACACGTAGTTTCTCAAATATAACAGCTGCAGTTGGGGACAATAGGATATCATTTCCCAGAACTCTGTTCCAGTACACCAAATGGTTGTGTCCTCCAAGTACAACTATAACAAACTAGAAAATTCCCTGATGGTTTCGTTAAAGCTTGGAGCATACCACATTCCCTTCACGACGCCTTCATTTATGATGCACAGTTTTTGAACATTCCGGAAGTGTTTGGGAGTGAGCCACAACCAAAAGTTCTCGTTGCACGTAACAGCTACAACATCCTCTCCTTTCATTTCGGCAATGTTCTCGAGCACTTTCTCCACATCTTCGAATTCATCGAAGCGAAGCCTTCGCAGCGTTGGCAGGGCCAACAGCTTAGATGTGTTTTCCTTGCTTAGGTAGTCCAGTTCCAAATGCAGTTCCTCAAGTTCCTTCAACTTGGATATGGCGTCTACATAGGCTGCTTCCTCGGATTCCCTCCACGTCACACTCAAAAACTGTAGCTGCAATTTCTAACATATTTCCTGAAAGCATTTTGTTTTCCAGTGTCTCGATGCTGCGATAATGTCCAACTTTCTTAGGTACTCCCACTTGGCTACGTGATGACCCGAGGAAAGGTTTAGGCAAGCTCCTTCCAACGTTTCTGTTATTTTAAGGGACTCTATTAAAGGAAAGCAATTTACCAAAGCCCCAATATCGTCGGCACTGGATTCTTCCCTCGAATAGTCCAATGCCCGGACCATGGGGAAACTATACTTCCGGAAAAAGCACAGATCATCAATGGAAAAGTCGAGTGTCAGCTCTACCACAGTGGAACTAATGCACTGCAGAAAGACTTCTGTGCTATCTCCACAAATTCTTCGGAACAGAGAATGTCGACTTTGGTGTTGCCAACATCTTGAAATAACCTTGCATAACCGGGATATTGACTCTGTAGCCTGAAATAGGTGAAGTTGATCCTCGAGGTCCAGGTGCTCTACAATTTTGCTATAAGGCTGGTTATCATAGGGTATGATCGCGGGTAACAAATGCTTGGGTTCTTACATGAGACAATTATCATTCAAGTTAACAATGCTGCTCATATTTATACCAGAAATACGGCACCATAATCAAAGAATTAGATATGTAATTACTGCGTATATTTATTAAACAGTATGGATTCAGCTGTTTGTAGGCATAGAGACAGTGCTTTTCACATCGATAGCCATCGATATAATTTGCTGTACGTTCTAAACAATATCTCAAAACCCGTTTTGTTATATTTAAATTAATAGCTCGAACAATATTATTCCAACACAAAAAAACAAAAGAGTTTTCCAATCATCTATTTAATAATTTACTTATAAGTTTTTAAACCTTTACACTTACTCCAAACTTTATGCATGGAAAGTATTTCTAAGGAGAAAGTGTGCACATATTACGCAGGTTGCTTCTGCACCTTCGCCAATTCTGCCTTGAATTTCGAAATGGTCTCACGTGCCAACTTTAGTTTGTCCTTTAGTGTAACAATCTCCCCCTTGACTTTCTGTTTTACATTCGTTATGTTGTCCAGCGTTTTCGTCTTCTTTTCCTCAACTAGAAAAGTGAATATTATGTATTAGGTAAGCATGCAAAATAGTAATCAGCTCATAGTTACAGTCAGTGGTGTCGTGAGGTAAGAGCTCATTGGCGCTCTGTTCCGAAAGCAGGAGATAATGCTGCATGATCTGGGTGGGCTCTTGGAAAACGATTTCCTCGTAGGACTCCGATACCAGGCCCTTCTTAGTATCCATAGTGGTGCTGGAGGTGAGCTCGCCATCGCCCACAGGCGATTGAAACAGCTTCAGGATGTGGTAGCAAGTAACCGGGCGCTCCGATTGATCGTTGAAATAGATCTTGATGATCACCTCGAATTCACCCCAACCGGTCTCTGTGATCTCGTAGGGCGGCTTAACCACAATCCTGTTCGGATTGGCGTAGCTCTCGTGAAGCTTAAAGTGCACCTTTTTGACGTAAATGGACATGTCTTCGTTGAAATAGGGCTTCAGATAGACCTTCCACTGATGCGTGTGTCCGTCCTCCTCGCGCTTCTTGCCGAAGGATCTGGCTATGTTCCCATACACTATGGGCTTTACTATAGTTACGCCCTTTAGTCGGCCACCCGAGTCTCCGCCAAAGTCAGTCATAATTCAATGTTTTTAAGTTGTTTATGCTTAGTTAACTCAATATTGTTTTGGTTCTTCTTCTTGCGTTCCGGGAAGCATTTGTTATCGATATATGGATGCACTGGATACCAGGACTGCGCAAAATACTGCAATACAAAAATAAAAAAAAAAAGGTGGATAAACATAGATTCCTTCATATTACATTTAAAACGTTTTTAATTTTAATTTGTTTTTATTTATTTTAAATTTAAGCCACTTTCGTTTCTTAGTTGCATCCCTTGTTACCGATTGCGGGTATCGATATTTTTGCGCTGTATTTTGGGGGTGGTGCCATCACTTGCAACAATCAGACGCTTTGGACAAATTGTGTTGTTTAATTTAAAATTTAATGATTTAAAACAGTAATTACCAGTGAGACACCAGTTAAATACATAAAATGATGGCGCGTCGCGGGGGAAAGCGCATACGAATGGATGATCCGCCGCCGGACTACGACGAATTGCATAGGTACAGTTTTCAGCTTTCCCACCATTTGTGTTTGCCTAAAAAATGTGTAAATATTTTTTAGCGATGCCCTAAATGAGAGCACTTCGGATGCGGACAGTCCCACCAAGCGGATGACAAGGCTGCGTGCGCGGGGCGGAGTGCGGGACAAACCTCCCATTATTGATGATGACGAGGATGACTTCTTCGCGCCAATAGCGCGCAAACGAAAGACTCCCGCCACCCGCAAGGGGCCAACAGAACGCAAAGAACGCGTTGAGCGACCGCGGAAGGAGCCCGTGGACAAGGGACACCACGAGCGGATCGACAATGAGCGGGAGATAACCACGGACGAGAACAGCTTGTACTACATTGTACGACACTCGAAGAACCCCATTGCTGTATGAAAACCAATTGCCTTAATATTCATCAAATAATAATTAGATGTCCCTTTCAGAGCATTGTTGACCAATGGATTGAGCAGTACAAGGCAAACCGAGAGACGGCCCTGGTAGCATTGATGCAGTTTTTTATAAATGCTAGCGGCTGCAAGGGCAAGATATCCGAGGACATACAGTATCCTGTAGATCACACATCTATTATCCGACGCATGACCGAGGAGTTTGACGAGGTAAGCCTGCTGAATATGTCCTCAAAGTCTATTATTCAACCGCAAAATATTTCAGGAAAGCGGCGAATACCCCCTGATCATGACCGGAACGCAGTGGCGAAAGTTTAAAAATAATTTCTGCGATTTTGTGCAAACACTTGTGAAGCAATGCCAGTACTCCATTATCTACGACCAGTTTCTGATGGACAATGTCATATCCCTGCTTACGGGCCTTTCGGACTCGCAGGTGCGAGCTTTTCGACACACGGCCACTCTGGCGGCCATGAAGCTGATGACTGCTTTGGTGGACGTCGCCCTATTGGTTTCGAATAACTTTGACAATGCCGCCAAGCAATTCGAAGCTGAACGCGTTAAGGTACGATGGCTTATAACTACTTTGAATATATAACTGATCCTAGAATTGTTTAGTCTCGCGATCGTCGTGCTTCTGACCGTTTGGACTCGCTTATGACTAAACGATCTGAATTGGAAGAAAATATGGACGAAATAAAGAGCATGTTGACCTACATGTTCAAGTCGGTGTTCGTTCATCGCTACAGAGACAGTCTGCCTGATATACGAGCCATATGTATGGCCGAGATAGGCATCTGGATGGAAAACTATCCGCAAAACTTTCTTGACGACTCTTATCTAAAATATATCGGTTGGACGCTCCACGACAAGATCGGAGAGGTGCGCCTGCGATGTTTGCAGTCGTTGCTGCCGCTTTACGAGAAGGATGAACTCAAGGGAAAACTTGAGTTGTTCACGTCAAAGTTTAAGGACAGGATTGTGGCCATGACGCTGGACAAGGAGTTTGAAGTGTCTGTTCACGCCGTCAAGCTGGTTATCAGTATCTTAAAGTAAGTTAAATTAGTTATTCTCCAAAGAATGTTTATCACCAAGCTTATGGTAATTTACAGAATCCACCCAGAGATTTTGGCTGACAAAGATTGTGAAATTGTCTACGAGTTGGTTTACTCCTCACATCGTGGTGTGGCTCAGGCAGCAGCTGAGTTCTTAAACGTCCGTCTATTTCACCTAACCGCCGACATGGAAGAGACGAAGACCAAACGGGGGAAAGTGCGTATGCCCAATACACCGCTGGTTCGGGACTTGGTGCAGTTCTTCATCGAATCCGAACTCCACGAACATGGCGCCTACCTTGTGGACTCGTTCATCGATAGCAATGATATGGTCAGGGACTGGGAGTGTATGACGGATCTGCTTCTGGAAGAGCCGGGGCCCAATGAAGAGGTCCTCGATAACAAGCAGGAATCGACACTCATCGAGATCATGGTCAGCAGCGTTAAACAATCAGCAACTGGAGAAGTTCCAGTTGGTCGCGCTAGCAATCGCAAATGTACTCTTAGTGCAAAGGAGCTAAAGGCTATTCAAGATGAGAAGGCGAAGCTGACCGAACATTTTATTGTTACCCTTCCGTCCTTACTTGAAAAGTATCAAGCAGACAGTGAAAAGTTGGCCAACCTCCTTGCAGTTCCACAGTACTTCGATCTCAATCTGTACACCACCAATCGACAAGAGGGCAACCTTCAGGCACTGCTAGACCGCATTAATCAGGTAATGAGCATGCACACAGGTCGCGAGGTGCTGGAAACTTGCGCCAAAACGCTAGAATGTCTTTGTGCCGAAGGAAGTGCCACCTACACCAGATGCAATATCGCCAGATCCAACATTATCGAGAGCGCTGTCAACAAGTACAAAGACGCAATCGAGGAATGGCGCAACCTTATACAAGGTATATAAATATACAAAGTATAATACTTTAACTTATTACTTATTATTTTGAAATTTTATCGAAGGCGAGGAGACCCCTAATGAGGATGACATCTACAACATTACCATCACTCTCAAGGTCCTTTCTATTCTGTACTCCTCGCACAACCTTAACCCCTGGGAGCTGTTTAGGTCCCTGTTCCAGGATGTAGAGGAGGCTCAGTCTAAAGAGAACATCGATCGGTGTCTGCCCAACGAAGCCTTAGTCTATTGCATAGAGGCCTGTTACTTTTCTATTAGCTGGGGACTGCACTACGTGGAAAACGAATGCGAGTCAGTTAACGTGACCGAGGTGGTGGCTGAGCTACGTAACAATTTGGATACCTTTATGGGAGCCTGCTTTGAACTAACACGTGATGGACCCACAGTTCAGATTCAAGAGGCGGTTCGTTATAAAATGTACAAAGCACTTTTTGGAGAACTTTAAAATGAATATGATTTGCAGGCGTACCAGTCCATCTGCGATTTGCTGATAATTTTCTCGGACAAATTGGCTCGCAGTGAGATCGAACATATTCGCGGCCTGGAGTACAAGTCGCGCATGGATGAGCACCTTATCTTGGACAACTTCGTACAACACTATGTATTTTCCCTTAAACAAGATGTAGCGCAGGATGAAACCAGAATCGAGGAACTGCATAAGAAACGTAATTTCTTGGCGTGCTACTGCAAATTGGTAGTCTACAATATAATTCCAACGATGCGTGCAGCTAGTATCTTTAAGTATTATGTCAAGGTGAGTGTACACGAGAAAATCTTTGGAATCAGTTCCGCGATCGCTGTCAGGTGTTAAGATTTATCTATTATCTTTGTTATGAATATCGCGGATACTAAACATAATTATTTATTTCAGTGCTACAACGACTATGGAGATATAATTAAGGCCACATTGGGAAAAGCCCGTGAGATTAATAAAGTTAACTTCGCCATGACCCTCCTTTTGAGCCTGATCACGGTGTTTAAGAGTCTACAGGAGCAGAGTGAGGATGGAACAGTTTCAAAGAGCTCGCAAGAGTTTGTGGACCTCAAGGAGTTGGCCAAGCGATTTGCCCTCACATTTGGTTTTGATGCAATAAAGAATCGGGAATCTGTGGCCGCTATTCATCGTGGTGGCATTTATTTCGCTGCGAACAAGGAGCCTGATGATCCGGTGCGGGCTCCAACACGCTTGTTGTTCCTGGAGGTTTTGAACGAGTTCAATTATAAGCTCCTGAAGCAAGACAAAAAGGTGATTATGAGTTTTCTGGACAAGATTATACCACCCGCAATGCCATCGAGCCGAGCTGAGGAATGGCAACCGCTGATATTATATCGCAATTCCTTGCTGCATGGCGAAACTGATCAGGCGCCCGTCGCCAGCAAACGAGCCTACACACGTAAACGCAGAGATCATGGTAAGAATTTCATAACTTCCATTTTATTTAGAGTCAACATTATAAAAAAACGTGTTTATTATTTAGATGAAGAAGAGGAGGAGGAGGAAGACGAGGAGGAACACAATGATCCTGATTACAGGGGCTAAGACCCGACGCAATCAGCCATATACGGCTTAAGTGCAAAATCTAATTTTCCGGGAAATCAAGTAGTTTTAAGATTAAAGCTAACGTTATGTACATAAATAAATTTAAATTATAAAATTACTGTACTCTAATTTATGTCCGAATTACTAAAGCATAAGTTTGACTTTATCAGCAATATTTTTGATGCACTTTCGGGGCTCAATCCCGCTTGCATGTCAAAATACAAATGTGCCGATTTCCTAAATAAGCCTTCACTAACCACACTTGCTGCTGGTGCTGATAAAAATTTCCTAACAATGCCATACAAGGAACTGTATTTTATGTTGTTCCTCCACCAAATCAAGGGATCCATGTTCCTATCGATTCTAGGTTCGGAGTTGTATAAATATAAAAGATTCTTAATCTGAGACTGGGAGCCCAGTGACGTATTAGGCTGCTGAGTATTCGTCGTTCCAGTTGTCAATATACTATCCAGAATGCTATCGATCTTTGATTCATTCTTCTGGGAGGATGTTGATGACACTTTGATTATTTTCAGCGGTGGCTGACCATTGCAATCGTCTGGCACTCCAGCGAGCACACGCAAAACTTCATTGGCCACCAAAAGCTCCTCACGCTCGGTAAAAAAGGCTTGCTTATACCTCGGATCGAAATAGGCGGCCATCAAAAATTTGATGTCGCTAGTAATGTGGGAAAACTTCATTTCCAATTCTTCAAGCAACTTTCTGGCGAAACTGCATATAGTCTAAACGTTCAAAACATAAGACAATATTTAATAGTTTTATCTCCTTCAACTTACCACAGAGGAAACAAAGTTATGGACATCCGTTCGGAGAGAATCCCGCAAAGCGGCAACCAGAGGGATTACGGATGATGTTGTCGTAGATGGATTGCTCCATATCTTAATTGTTTCTTCGCAAGGCTGCATTACTTTGCTGCACAAATCAATCTCTATCCATTCATCGGGATATATTTGTACCAGACTATACTCTTCGCAGTACAGGGATAGAGCATCTTTCATTCTAAACACGCTGGTCATCATCTGAAAAGCAGAGTTCCATTGAAAGGGATCGTAAGGTATGAGTGTGCACGGGTCTCGCGTCAAGCGGATCTCTTGAATGAATTTCAAATGATCGTTGGCCATTTTAGACGAAGCAAAATGGTCAACTATTTGCTTGCACTTGGACGAAAGATTCTGCAGTAATTCGTTCGATTGCAAAGCAAATCTAACGCACATCTGTAGGCGATGCACATTGCAATCAGGTAGGGAACCTGGCAGAGCCGTCATCTCGTCCCTGATGATGCAATGGATCTTTTCTTTGGGCACCTCAATGGCCAAGCTGGGTACTAGATCCCGAATCCAACATGCAAGCTTAGAAGTGCTCTCATAATTCAGAGCCTCGCATTTCAGCATAAGGCGTTGGGTCTGAAAATCCCTTGATATTCCGGAGCAGGACAAGCTCAGCAGTCCTTCTCCTTTGTCACCCCGCCAGAGACTCGTAGACAACGATATGGCATCTAGCAGATCCACCTGTTGCTTTAAATGCAGGTGCATTTTCCGGTGTATGTCCTCACACAGTACTTTCTCATAATAGCTCCTTGGCTGAATCGTGTACCTTGGCTGCAGCACCCTAATAAAATTGACGAATCCTGAGTCTTCAATGAACTCAAAGGAGTGGTTTAAAAGCATGAGGGCCAATTTCTCATCACAGCGTTTATTGTAGGAATTATCTTCGGTGTCCAATGGATCTGAATCTGTTTCCTAAAATGTATAGTAAAATCTTTTAGATTAAATTAACGAAAAACTGTATAGTATTAGGAAAATATAATACTAAGACTATTAAAAATAATAGTAAATTTCTAAACAGAGAGGTATTTGGGTAGTTTGGTTAATCATCTACTTTCTTGACCCATGCGAATAAAAATCCGCATCCGCTGTAGCTATTTTAGTTATAGGTATTAAATAAGAAGATGTTTCGATCACTTTTGGAACTCCCACTGAAATTATATTTGAATTGAAATTTAAGTTTGGGGAGAGGAGATGCATGACAGAATATATGACCTTAGGTGGAAAGGTACCCCGACCTCACTGAGGTACACTTTTTGCACAGCTTGTGTACATACATATGTACATATATGTACTATTTCACTTACATGAAGATTCAATTCCAGCTGTGCTGTGGGGTGCTGTGGCGAACCGATGGAGATCTCGGTCTTCACCAGATCCAGGTACTTTATGTCCCCGGATAGCGATAGGAACTCTGGTGGGTGCTTGCTCTTCAGGTGATTCCGCAGACAGGTTGTGCCGCGTCCTCTTCTCGAGTAGTTCCTGTTGCACAGGAGACAGGTGGCCACTGTACCGGATGTCTTGTAGAAGTACTGCCACACATTGCTTTTCTTCTTGCTCATGGCTGCTATTCTTTGGTAATTCCCAAATTGTACACTTTTTGCGGATGTCCACATCCGCCTCTACATCCGTTCTGCGGCAGAGTTTGACATCCCTGGCAGCTATCGATAGGCACATCGATGACAGTCACTGAAATGCTGCAATCAGATTTTGGCGCGCCAAAGCAGCTGTTGTTTTTTGCTTAGGAGGTTTTGAGGCTTTGATAATTCATTCGTTAACGAAATAGATAATGCCCTGTGCCATGGAGCTGCCGAGCACGCCTGATGAACTGACCGCCCAGCAAGCGGACAGCGCTGCCCTCAAGGACCTGCTCAAGGATCCCAGCCGCTGGCACGCGATTCCCCTTCTCAACTACACGCCTTTGCACAAGCTGAAGGATCAGACTTTGGTGCGTTTTCGTGGCATGATCCAGAACGTGATGGACCCGGAAATGTACCTGGAGCGCTTTGAAGTGAAGTCCCCCGACGGCAGCAAACGTGTGCAGGAAGGAAAGTACAGGGACTGCTTGAAAATGGCCACTGGCGAAATGATCGACTACAACGCCGATGGAAACGTGTATGGAGAGAGGATAACCTTGTTCGTGGTCTCTGTGCCTGGCTTGAATGACTGGAGCAAGGAGCACGAGAAGCAGTGCTGTCCCCAGATCGATTTGGTCAGTCTGGGTCCATCTCCCAGTTCAGCAAAAAAGCGGGCTATTGTGGGCGAACAGGAAGCCATGGAGGTGGACGGTGCGAGCGAAACCACCTTTAAGCGTCCGTGCCTAAAAGATATTCAAAAAGATAGCGAGCCACTGGGTGCCTCCCATTCCTCTGTTCTTAGCTCTGAATACCTGATAAACTCGCCTCTGCCTAATCGTCCCAGCATGGCATGCATGGTAAAGGTTTACGAGGAGTTCGATACCTACCAGCTTAACTCCCTGGTCGACTTTGTGGGCTTTCTGTCAGTGGATGCCTCGCTGGACGCCTCTACGCTGGACATAGACGATTGCGAAAATTTGAGTGAGCTGCAGGCAACACATCCATCACCCCTTCTTATACCCCGCCTGCATGCCTTTGGCGTCCAGGTGCTACCGCATGCCAATCCGCTGCTGGACAAAAGCCTTCGACAGCCCACGGAAATATGTGAGGAGACGACGTATCCAACCCAGCTCGCTGTGCACAAAGATCTGCGCATGCTTCTTAAACTCTGCCTCTTTGATGACGATCTGGCTGCCGAGTATCTGCTCTCCCATCTAATATCCACGGTCTATAGCCGTTTTAAGATGCAGAGCATCGGCAAGTTTGCCCTTAACCTTTGTAATCTGCCTAAGGAATGTGAAGCATATGCAACCAAGTTGTATAAAATTCTAGAGCTGTTATTGCCAGCCAGTCATTACTTGCCCATGACCCTCGTTACATTAAACACGGCTGCTTTTGCCCCGAAGTAAGTTGGCTCAGCAGAATGATCAAAAACATTTATTACATATTTATGTGTACTTGCAGAATGGACTACGAGACCAACAAGCTAGTTTCCGGTGTACTACAGTTGGCTCCTCATACGCATTTGGTGCTCGACGAGACCTGCATGCAACAGGGCAAGCTGGAGGCCAATGGGGTTCATGCTATCCAGTATTTAGCACACTTGATCAATAACCAGGAACTAAAGTGTGACTTCCAGTTTTACCAAAAAGACTTCCATGCAAACATTCCAGTTCTCGTTCTTAGTGAAGGACGAAGTATGTTGCCGGTAAGAATACATCTTTTATACGTTGATTTGAAAGTGAATATGATAATACGACGAAGAACAATTTTTGTCTTCAGAGCGATTTTGTGCTACCCATTAATGCTGATGCTAAGGCCGTGGAACTCCTTGATGAATCTCTAAAGGCAGCCCTCCACATTATGCAACCATCACGTCTGCAGCAATTTCGCAAGTACTTAACCACAGCGAGAACTAGCAGCTTCAGTGTCAGCGAGGAGCACACTGAAATGATCCAGCAGGACTTCGTGGATATGCGCAAAGCTAATGCCAAAATTAATGGCGATGATCTGCACGGATTGCTGGTCCTCTCGCGGCTGCTGGGCATCGCTCGAGGCAAGGATACGTTAGACAAAGAAACATGGCAGCTGGCTAGGGAGTTCGAAGCAAAGCGTCGCCAGCGTATTCAATCTCTACCAAAATCATCTGCCCAATTGCGCAATTAGGAGGGCCTCTCTACTAAAAAAATGTAATACTAAGTTTTTAAGAATAAAATAAAATATTCAAAAATTATACTCCTTATATTTAATGTTTAGCTCTCCAGGCAAGTCTGGTAAAAAGTACTCAAGTAGATAAAACTTTAATGGGCATCATGACTCTTGATCCACTACAACTTCATGACTTAAATGCTCGAAGCGCCCTTCGATTAGCTGACTGGCCAGGCAATCTCCGCACAGATTCAGGTGACAGTAACAACTGTTACAACGCCATTGGGTCCGGGTCACAGATGCCTCTTCGCACTCGGCACACTTGGCTGCCAGGAATTCTGGCTCATACCCGTCCTCGATCTCCCGTTTCTCGTCCTGAATGGCTGATAGAAGCTTAAGGCATAGTTCCTGCTTGCGCTTGGCCTCCGCATTCAGATCGGCATCCATGTATTCGGATTCGGTCTTCGGTTCGGTCTTGACTTGTGAGGATGCCGGCATAAGGAGCATATCGCTCGCGGGCGATGGGATTCGCAGGTCATCAAATGTGAAATCGTCCTCTGGCATTTGTAGCGTTATATTCTGAGCGGGGAAGAAGGTAGACTTGCGAAGGTTTATCTTCGGCTTACTCAATCCCGGACGGCGATGCTTGGGTATTCGACCGGGCACAGGCATGCCAGCATCGTGCAACTTCTGGAAATACTTCTGGACACGGCTGAACACCTGCTGTGCCGTTCTGTTGCCCAATGCCTTTGCTATCTTGCCGAATCTGCGCATTTCAATTTCCTCTGGCGGATACTGGACGAGCAACTGCTCCAAACGACGCTGCTCTTCGTTGGTCCACAAGCGATTGAAGTTCTCCGACCGTCCATTGCTCCTGTCCCGATTCTTGTTCGCCTCTTGCGTCCATGAGGACGCAACCGTTGGTGTCTCATTTGTGCTCCTTTCCTCGTCATTCGGGGACAAAGTTGGCAAGTCCGGTAAAACGGCCGTGGTGATGTAGTTATCCGATATCAAGGGCTCATTGTTTCGCAGTTTGTCCAGCATGTGCTGCGGATTCTCCAAGTAGATCTTTTGGGTGGCTTCCAGTTCATCGATTTGCTGATGCACCCGAATTCTTTGTGCCTGCAGCACGGCCAGAGTGCGCAGCAAATTGGCATAGCACTGGTTGCCACGCAGGGCCAGGTGCTCGGTCTCAAAATGAAAGACATCCTCATCTTCTGGAGATTCCTCTGCTAGTTCCATTACAAAAAAGAATTACCAAAACTTGTTTGTTTACAAAACATGTGTTCACGCCTTATTGCTAGAGGTGGTAGTTCGTTCCGCAAAATGGTTATCGAAATTTACCAACAAATCGATCTTGGATCGTTATCAGCTGCTATCCGCGAAAAAAAGAAGCGGCATACGTAACCTTTATTTACAAATTTAGCAATGAGAATTGTACCAATCTGCTCTATCCTTGCGCTGACAACAAAGGTAAATTCACGGAAAAACCACTTACCGTACCGATTGTAAACGTTTTAAAACTAACAGCGCACGGCGGTCACAAGCGCGGCCAACCAGGTGCGAATTGTGGAGGTTGGTCCACGGGATGGTCTTCAAAACGAACCCAAACTGCTGCCGGCGGCCACCAAGATCGAGTTGATCAACCAATTGTCTGAAACGGGACTGCGGACCATAGAAGCCACCAGTTTTGTGAGCGCCAAATGGGTGCCACAGATGGGCGACAATGCTGAGGTCCTTAGAGGAATCCGCAAAGTGCCTGGGATAAGCTATCCAGTGCTCACGCCAAACCTAAAGGGATTCGAGAGTGCCCTGGAGGCGGGAGCCGAGGAGGTGGCAGTCTTTGGAGCCGCATCTGATGCATTTTCGCTGAAAAACGTTAATTGCACCGCAGCTGAGGCCATCGAACGCTTTAAGCCTGTGTTAAAAGCTGCCCAAAAGAATGGAGTGCGCGTCCGGGGCTACGTTTCTACTGTAGTTGGCTGTCCATACGAGGGTGCCGTTGCACCGAGTGCCGTCGTCAAAGTGGTGGAAGCCCTTTACCAAATGGGCTGCTATGAGATATCATTGGGCGACACTATTGGTGTGGGCACGCCAGGCTCAATGCGCCGAATGCTGGATGAGGTGACCAAGGCCGTTCCGGCTAAAGATCTGGCCGTGCATTGTCACGACACGTATGGCCAGGCCCTGAGCAACATACTGGTCTCCCTGGACTATGGCATACGGGTGGTGGACTCTTCGGTTTCTGGCCTGGGCGGATGCCCTTACGCAAAGGGAGCGTCTGGCAACGCAGCCACCGAGGACGTGGTCTACTTGCTGCACGGCTTGGGCCTTGATACGGGCGTCAATCTAGACAAACTCATCCAAGTGGGTCGGTACATCTGCACCGAACTGGGCAGACCCTCAGAGTCCAAGGTTAATCGCGCGTGGAAGGGGGCACAGGCGCGTGTTCAGTGATGATGCTATCATTGTACAACGAAAACGAAGGCATTTACTAGCACTAGTTATTCAATACATTTATTATCGTTGCAATATTAAGCCTAAGAGCGTGAAGTACTTTTATGGGCCTTAAAACTTTTGGGCATCTCTTATTGTGTACAAGGACACGTCGCCTGAGGCGAGCGACAGATCAGCCAGGCTGTGATTGGCGCGGCGTGGGATGTGCGACGAAGAAGGGTTGCGGGCTACTTCGCCGGGCATTTTCATTTTGCCATCATGGCGCAAAACAGTGGGCTCCACGGCGGAGTTAAGGTATTTTTGAATTTGAGGTACCTTTGGCATGGGAACAGGAGTTCTTTCATCCACCACCTGTTCAATGGATGTTTTTAGATTATTATCATAAATATCATTATCATAATATCATCATTACTAATATATAAATTTAAACTTACATGCTTTATCTCTGAGGATATGTAAGCCTTTTTTGGAAGAAGGTGAGCGGTTAAGTCGATTCCCTTGATCCTTAGAGACTCCGCTTCACTCGACTCGGATATTCCGCCCTTTGTTGCGAAAAGTGCTTTAGGGCGACACAAGCGAGACTCCTGCTCCAACTCACTGATGGCCAGGGTAGATAGCATATCAGTACTGGTTGGACGGAATGTACTCATTAGAGGAGCAGTACCAGACTTCTGGGTGTAAGTGCGTATAGGACTAACAATATTGGCGTAGGGCTGCTTTATCAGTTGTTGGCGACGTTGAGGAATACCAGAGGCTGCAGAGAAGAATTTCTTTTTGGTCCACTCCATGGTGAGGTCGACCTTGGGCGGCTTCTTACCCTTGCTGGGCGATGCTACAACCGTTTGTGGCTTGTTAGATGATCGCAGCGGTAATGATGGCTGCAAAAAAGCAACAGCCGGTGATTTTGGTTGTGGCTTCGGTGAAACTACGAACGTGCTTTGTTTGGTCAGCACAGGGCTATCAGGCTTGACTGCGGCGGTTTGTAACACTCCACCTGCCATGTATTCCATACCCTTTTGCATCATGTACTGCATTTCTTCCATGGTATCATTGAAATGCAAGGAGTTTTCCTTATTTTCAATGCTCTCCTCCGCTGGCTCCTGCTCAACGGGATCCTTTTCGTGGACTGAAGATACACTGGACGTGTCTTCTTGTTTGACTTCTGAAACTAGCTGCACTTCTTCATCGTCAGAAGAAGAAAGCTCGATTATTGTATCTTCTATCTCGTCCTCTTCCTCCTCCACTTCCTCCTGCGGAAGTGAGGCAAGCTCTTTTAGACTGACATGAAGATCGCTTAAAAGCTCCAACTCCTCTCCCTTAGACATTCCTGATGGCTTGGCCTTGGCAATTGCGGCGTAGAACAATTCATCGACGTTAAGGAGTGTTCCACTGAGGGAGCTATCCGTGGCTGTTTCGTAGCAACTAGATGCATTTGTCTTCAGTGTGCGAGCGCTTTGGAAGCTTGTATGGGAAGACACATCCGACGACTCCAGTTCGCTGTCCTCGATGATGGTCGAGGGACGAAGCAGGCCTATCATTTTGACCGGCGAAACCTTGGTCAGAGACTTTGGAGTCAGCCCAGAGCTGGACGGGGTCTCATCGATTCCGGTTAGGGTGTTGTCCCAGAGGCGCGACGGCGCCTCAACGTCCTCCAACTGGGTGCACTCCACCCCCTTGACGGGACTTTCGTTCTCCAGTAGATCGTCTTCTGTGCCCACTGCCTCTAGCATGCGACGCAGTGCATCGATCTCCTTCTGATCGTCGGTGCTGCGATCCTTGGCCCTGGACATCACCTGGCTTCGGTCCTCGCTGTGCAGGTACTGAAAAAGAGTGCTGTCAGGATCGGAGCCCGTTTTGTCGCACATTCTTTCGAAGGCACTGAAGCTATCGTCGGCATCATCCAAGTGCTCTAAAGCCCCTCCCTCGTACATGGTATCCTCGCCGAGATTGATAGTCATTTGGCTAGCAGAATTAACGGCCAGAACTTTCTTGGCCCGCTCCTCGATGGGTCTCCTCAAATCCTCGTCTATCTCCAAACTGTAACGCATATCCTTCGATTCGTCCATTTTTACGGGCTTTTTCGGCAAGCTGAAAAGGGTAACTGTTAGTTTTCTCAAATGTATCGGACTGTTTCTCTATCAATTTTGACATGCAGGTGGCCTATATGAAATTAAATGTCTACGGATTCATCGAACACTAGTGCAACACTATCCAATGATGGGTTTGAATGTGTATTTACCGCTCGGTCATTAGGAACTGGCGGAGTTTCTGACGCCATTCCTCAGTGTTTTGGAATTTCTTGAGGCCAGACATCGTGAGTGTGCGAGTGTGCGTGTGTCCTGGGTGCAAAACTCCAGTCGACGGGATAATTACGTATAATTGCGAGTTGCCTATAGTTCAAAGCGTTTAGAGTTGGCTCCAGTTGATCACCTACCTTGTGGCAATAGTATACACCAAGTTATTCTTTAATCCTCACGGCGCACACGCAAATATTTCATAGCATTATTCACAGCACGCTCATTTGCTAACGATCGACGCGCCTTTACAGTCGTTTATTTCAAACGCCACAGCAGTGTGGCCGTATTGGGGGTATATTTTTTCATGGGGTATTCTTTGTTTCAAAGAGTATGATTTGGAATAACTTACATATAAAAGGAGATATACATAGGTATGTTTATGCAAATTTCAAAGAAGTGTTATCCCTAATAAAAATATTATTAATAATCAAGACAATTTTATATTATGTATCTGATAATGTATAAATGTATTCAAGTATTTACTTCTACATTGACATTTTGTTATGCTATATCATTTTTTTTAAGTCATACCTTATTTATGATAACGTAATTACTTGTATAAATGTAACTTTTATCTTTGGTATATTTTTATGGTCTCGGTCACACTAACGGCTATGCAACTAGAAATGCCGGGTCGGTGAAAGATAACAAACAGACTGCGTTCGGGGAAAGTACTTAAGTTAAGTTACAAATTTAAAGTAGGCGACAGCACAAAATGAACGCACTCCGTCACACGATATCCCTGGTATCGCTGGGCACCTTTCAACTGGTGCGCCGGACCAGGGGGCCGCATGTCCAAGGCTTTCTCCTCGGCACTGGACTGGGCCTGGCCAGCTTTTCGGCGGTCACGTACGCACACTCCGCGGAGGCGGTTAACCCAAAGGTCAAAGGGGTGCAGATGGACACCTCGCGGTTCATGGCCGAACCCATCACGGACTCCAAGGCGCTGTTGGTGGACAAGGAAAACATGCGCCATCGCATGGAGATCCTGATCATGGAGATTCAGGCGGAGTTTTGCCGCGCCCTAGAGGCGGAGGAGAACTGTGGCCAGAAGTTCAAGGTGGACCGGTGGGAGCGGCCAGAGGGCGGAGGCGGAATCACTTGCGTTCTACAGGATGGTGATGTATTCGAGAAGGCGGGCGTCAATATATCCGTGGTTACAGGTTCCCTTCCCCCGGCTGCGGTGCAGCAGATGCGGGCTCGTGGCAAGAACCTGAAAGAGGGAGCCTCATTGCCGTTCTTTGCCAGCGGTGTGAGTGCCGTGATCCATCCAAGGAATCCCCATGTCCCCACCATCCACTTCAACTATCGTTATTTCGAAGTGGAAACTGCCAAGGGGGAGAAGCAGTGGTGGTTTGGTGGCGGCACGGATCTGACGCCCTATTACCTCTGCGAGAAGGACGCCTGCCACTTCCACCAGACCCTGAAGTCCGCCTGCGACGAGCACGATGCAACCTACTACCCGCGCTTTAAAAAGTGGTGCGACGACTACTTTCGCATCAAGCACCGCAACGAGAGCCGCGGCATCGGTGGGATCTTTTTCGACGACATCGATTCGCCCAACCAGGAGGCGGCCTTTAACTTTGTGTCCAGCTGCGCCAAGGCCGTAATTCCTTCCTATATGCCGCTGGTGCGAAAACACAAGAATCAGGAGTACGGCAACAACGAACGCCAGTGGCAATTGCTGCGCCGCGGACGCTACGTGGAGTTCAACCTGATCTACGATCGTGGCACCAAGTTCGGCCTCTACACGCCTGGAGCCCGCTATGAGAGCATCCTAATGTCACTGCCCCTACACGCCCGCTGGGAGTACATGCACGAGCCCAAAAGTCAGTCCGAGGAGGGCAAACTGATGAAGGTCCTTAAGAACCCCAAAGATTGGGTCTAAGCTAGGATTCTGTTTTTATTTGTTCTAAAGCGGGAATCGGTGCCTTTCACTCTCTATTTTAAACTAATTGTGTACATATTGTTGTTTGTTGTTGCAAATAAACTATTTATCCCTATTTACAACATTTGTTTAAAGCATTAAAAATGCAGTATAAGTTGGACTTGCCAATAAAACTATGAATAATAATACTATAAATTGGCCTCTACAAAAAAAATCAAATACATAAGGATAATGAATTATTATTTTATTTTGAGGTTTTTGATAATTAATTTATTAAATGCAACAAAATATTAACAAATTTAATGGATTTCACCATCGACTCAATAATTTGCTTATCAATGTGTATATGTACATATGTACATAATTAAAGTTGGACATACATGGTAAAGTCTGCACTGAATCTAAGAAAATCTCCAACTTTAGTAAGATTACCGATTGGGTAAAATTTAAAATGTACATACATATGTATGTATATGTACAAAATTTGATAATCAAGTTGATTTATTGGAAACTAATTATTGCATGAAAGAGGACTGGTAGATTTAAATATACATATCTACTTTTCAATTTTACATTATAGTTTTTTGATCACAACTGTACCTCTAAAGTTTCAAACACATACGCACATATACATATATGTACATGGTATACACATACACAATCATCATGTATGGCTTAGTCAGCATGAACATACATGGCGTATTACTGTCCCCAATTTTGAGGTTATAGTTACCTCTATGAAATTTTCACCCAGAATATTCCATAAACTGACGTCATTTTTATATTTGTCCGAATTTCGAGGTTATGTTTTCCCAGACTGCAGATTCGCCTGCGTATGTTTGCATTTTCCCGCAAATTCAGTGAGCCCCGATGTGTATGTATATCAAATTGCACGCACACACGCGCACTAGACCCAGTCCTGCTCGAACACAGAAATGCAATGCCTGATGTGCGTGTTTGTGTGGAAAGAGGGACGCAAAGCGGGAAATTCGCGCCGGCTTTTTGGGGTAGAAGGGCGAAAAGAAACGCCGATCAGGCAGGTAGAAATAGCCGAAGACAAGACTGGGGATTTGTGTAGTTTATAAAATGCTTTATTTACCATTTTCTTGTCTGCAAAAGTTTTTGTTTGTTGTGGTCACGCATACAGACAGAATCTACAGTTGTACTAAACGCACTCTTGTTTCATATTCAATCGATGCTTACTGCCTGTGTTGTTGGATTCTTCATGTTGTTGTTTCTTTTGTTTTTGTTTAATGTTTGTAGTTATAAGGGGTGGTGTAACTAACTTAACTAAGTAATTTTATAGAGCGCCGCCGGTCTGCTGCTGGTAAACCTCGATGGTGTCGCCCTCCTCCATCTCCAGCGAGGTCGGGGTGTCGTTCTCGTTGATGGGCTGTCCGTCGAAGCGGAAGCGCACCACCTGCATGGAGAGTCCGGCACGGTCGCAGTAGGCGTTCATCAGCTTCCTCAAGGGTGTGTGCTTCTTGATCTTGAACTGGACGACGGCGTTATCCTGGCCGAGGACCTTCAGGTTGATGTGCTCTGTCTCACCGCCTTTCTTTTCGTCAGACATGTTGATTTTTTGTTGCTCTTCGGAGCTGCTGAGTGGTCAAAGAAGTTTTTTTTTTGCGGTGCGTCGAATGCCGGGCGTGCTGTACGAAAAAAAAAACGAGACAAAATGTCGCATTAAACACGCGTAAACTAGTAAACCCCACGCAAAAAGTACGGGCAATACCGTAGAGCAGCCGCTAAACGCGTAAAAATGCAAAAATTTACCTGATTTTCTCAGGATCTGTGCTTGCTGATGGCAGTTGAAATTTTCCACAAGCGGCTTCCTTTTGCTTCTGCTACAGCTACACGCCAAAAAAAATTGGAGCTGGACCTTATGCGATACTACCGTCGATTCTCGAAACACGCCATTATCGATAGGTTCTCCTGCAACCATTGATTATTGTCACTGCTTTGGTATTTAGGTCACGGTTTTCATAGCATCAAATGAAAAAGTATGCCACTAATTAAAAAAAAAACAAAAAACACTTGTAGTCTAATCAATGGAATGAAAAATACGTTGTGTTTTCAAAAAAATCACCTACGTATCTCAATTTTTCCACATTGTTTGTAAGCCAGTGTAAGCAGGGCAGCATACAATTATTTAACTATCGGCAACAACCAAAATGTAAACGCGTGATATCGCTTTATGGTAAAAGGTAAAATTTTTTTAAAAAATGGCTGTTGAATAAGTTTTTGTGAAGTTTTTCTGAAACATTTGACAGAATTATACCTAAATTTTATATTCCCATGTAAAATACAATTAAAATATTCCAGTTTCTTTATGTTGTTGAGGAAGTAACCCATAATATCGATGACCCATCGATAACGGTAGTGTATTATCATTGAAGTAAACATAGCGTACTGCTGATACCCATTACTCGTAAAATACTATGGTATGTAGGTACTTTTTAGGTTATACAGCCGAAATTATTTTCTTCGATGTTATTTTAAAAAGGCTTGCCACTGATAGTAAAGATCTTGTCTTGAAATCGTGCCCTTTTATTTTAAAATTGGTTATTAAATTTTTATAATGAGGACGGATTTAGAATATACATACATGTGTATATTTTTAAAGAGATTTTAGGGGCACCACTGCATATTATTTTTTACAGGAGCCAAAGGCCGGTATAACAAGCCAAAATTAAAATAACATACAAATCATCTTGAGGAGGTTTGAAAAATGAAACAAGTTATTTTTCGTATAAGGAGAAATTCTTTTCTTTATTTGATAAAATCTAAATGTGACATTGATCCCTGTCCGCTTTCTTAATAGTTGTGTACTAGGAAAAATGCCTAGCTAGGCGATAGTTTGTTTCCTGTAAGTCGCAAGGTACGAAAAGGCATTGCATGGGTCCTGTCTGCCAAACAATACAAAAATAAAAGACCCCCACAATTTTGTCAACGTCCGCAACCCAAAAAAGAGGCTACCAAATCGAGAAACCCCTGACCTGACCAACCAACCAATCGTTACCAGTTACCAAAAGCAAACCTTTGTGCAGTTTTCTGTTCTATGCGAGTTTCCGCCGCGGGTTCGTCTTCAGTACGATAACAATCAGCTCAACGTACATGAAAAGATCGAAATGGTAAATTGGTTACAGACATAATGGATGTGTAGATTGCCACAGACCATTGGAGCAGTTCGCAATGTGTACCAAACAGAGGAAAGCTTCCTTACACTCACGGCGGGCGAGCAATTCGTAATCTTACCGGGGCAAACTTACGGAAAGGTTTGGGTTTACAAAATTTAGCCCGATTCAACTTACACACCAACCCAGAGCGGAGGAGAGTGGGAAAGTATCGGTATCTGTCTTGATTCTAGAGCGGTCCTAGAACGGTAGACGCATGGATTAGTGAGGTTTGTGCGTAGACCAAATTACCTGATGTGGGCTTGGAATTTAGACTTGGGCATTGGCTACAAATTCTGGCGGAACTAATTTCCGTTTTGGATTACTGTTTGATTAAATACTTATGCTTTTGCTTTCACACTAGTCAGAGTCAGATTTTCAATTGATTGAAAACTGCAAAAAACAGAGAAAATAAAAGGCACGAGTTAGTGCAAGGGTTTGTATTCAAGTTGCGATTGTTGTTCAGCTTATGTTAATTGAGTAAGAAAATCCCAGGAACCACCATGGGATAGTGTACCATAGTACCATATGCGTCTCCGAAAGCGTTCCAGCTCCTGACTCTCCGTATTCCCTTTAACCCCCTTACCAAAGGTGGGGAAACAAACACATGAGGGCTAGCTTTATTTTACTTACTTTTTTCATATTCATTTGTTAAGAGTTACTTATAAATTTAAATGATTTAAGCTACGCACACATTAGTGGATTCTGCGTTTAGCGGTCTGGGTTTCTATAATGTTGTTCTACTTTGCCTTCCTCCAAGTGGTACCTTAAAATTTTCTGTGTAAAATGGTTAGGCTCTCCAGGATTGCTGTGCCTCGAGTCCAATGAATAAATATTTGCCACCCACAGGCATCTGACTTCTAGAAATATTAACCTTGACACATCGCTTCAAGACTCTACTGACGCCACCAGCTCGGGTCGCCGGAGTTCTGCTGACCATTGTCGGGATTGGGATTCGTGCTGGCATTTCCACGCCCCAAAATAGGCGGCGGCGGCACACTGAACATATTGTGATGCGCAGGCGGCGGCCGGTATTTCTCCTCGTCCTCGTCGTCAATCTCACGCTTGATGGTCGCGTTCTGGTAGTCAAATGTAGGATAGCCATCGTCGATCGGCTCCTCCTTGATCTTGATGACGTCCATTTCGCGGAAGTCGGGCTTACGCTCCTTGACATCGCCGCCGGATCCGGTGCCGCGGTCGCGGTCCCTTCGCTCTCGCTTTCGTTCGCGACGCTCCCTGGAGGATTCGCGTTCGCGAGACTTGGAGCGCTTCTTTTTCTTCTCACGCTCGCGATCGCGATCCCGCTCGCGCTCCCTGTCTCGCCGATCGCGGCGGTCGAACTCGTCGTACCGCTCCCGGCTGCCCGCTCGTCTTTTTCTGCGCTCGCGGGAACGGCTGCGCGAGCGACCGCTGCTAGCCACAGCGCCCCGTCCGCGATCTCGTTCACGGTCGCGGCGTTCCCTTGAACGGGAACGTCGACGTTCCGCACCGAAACCGCGTCCAGCCCGGGCATCCAGGCCATTGGAGCCGCCGCCGCGTCCAGTACCTTCGCGATCCTCACGCTCCCGCTCCAGCCGGTAGCGCTCGCGCTCCCTTTCGTTGTCCTCGCGGCCAGAGTGCTTAATGTTGACATCGTTGCCGCCGCGACGCGTTCCACCCAGACCGCCGCCCAGCCGTCGGGGCAGCCAGCCCTTGACCGTGCGAGCCCGCTCCACGTCCACAAGGACGCGCTTGCTGTCGATCTTCTTACCGTCGGCGTGCTTGTAGGCGGCATGCATGTCCCGCTCGTGCTCGTACTCGATGAAGGCGTAGCCCTTGGGTTTACCTGATTCCTGGTCATGGATCAGGACGATCTTCTTGATGGGCCCGTAGAATTCGAACTCACGTCGCAGCTTTGACTCAGAGGTGTCGTAGTTGATGCGGGCAATGAACAGCGTGCGAAACGGGTCCTCCGTTGCGTTTTTAATCTCTGTGGGGTCCCACAGCGCTATCTCCCGCTCCAGCTTGTAGGCCACCTGCTCGGCCTTCTCGCGGCGCCGGCGCTCCAGTCGCTCCTGACGCGTCTCCACCGTTTTCGGTAGCGGCGTGTCCTTGGGGTCCTCGAAGTCGGCCATGAACTTGGCCACTCCCAGGTAGCCGCGAGACTTCTTCTCGTGCGGCAGCTTGTCCACCGGCGGCATGAACGGGATGGGATCCCGTGCCGCGAACAGCGCCAGCAGATTCGGCGGCAGATATTGGGTCATATTGGGGTCTTTTTTTTTGTATTACCTTTTCCTGAAGTTCCTCGTCTGCAAAAGAAAAATTGGTAATTTTGAGGTTAGGTTGAAGTTTGTTTACTCCGCAAGGAGGAAGTAAACGGCAGTGCAGCTCACCTCAAACAGCCATCAGCTTGGCAAGAACAAATCTAGCGTACTTCGTCTAAGTACCAGCAATATACTTGAGGCCGCACAACTTACTTTTTCAATTTTCTTCAGTTTTTCGCCTGGCTTGAGTAGCTAGTGTGACCGCCGCGCGGCCTATGAATTTGGTGGGAGAATTCCTCACAAAATACTGAGAAATGCACCAAATATGCTGCATACATTATAAAATATAAATACCATAAAAATGGTGGGTGTCTCGGGTACTAAAATATTGGGTTCGAAACCTAGTACGTTTCTCGGTTTTATAGTTGACTTTTTTACTATTCCCATTCAATTGCTGTTTGCTACATAACTCGCTTTTCTGCTATCTCCATCTCGCTCGCGCTTTCTTAAGCCGAGTAATATTTATTAATAATTCGCTGCACTCGACTATAGCGTACCCTAACGTTTACTTTTCATGATTTTAATAATAATTCCATTGTAAATGGCCGAATACGTTTCTATTAAAATGGATGTTATTTGTCGGTCATGCGAATTCATAAAAACTTTCTCGAGAATATTAATATTAGAAATATACAGTTTTTAAAATGTTTTCTAAAATATTTTTCTTTTCAGAAGTGTCTAATCAATAGTGTTTTAATGATCACTGACGTTTTATTTTTCACTCGAATACTCTGAAAGTCAGCACATAAAAAATTGTATTTAAAATTTTTAGTTTAATTAAAGTGCATTGTGACCAAGCGCGATTATGACCTGCTTGGAGTGCGTTTTCGCTGCTGGCTTACTCCACGTGATCCAGTTCTTGGCGTTAGCTTCCAAAAGCTCGGATTCTCCGGCGCCGCAGTTACCCTCTCTGATTGTGGCTCTGGCTGCGATGGACCTTATATGGGACAATTGTTTCGTTCCCCGGGCACTTCATAAGATGCCGGCAGGGCTCAGGCGGATTTACGAAGCGGCAGTGGCATTCCTGCTCTTGGAGATTGCCGTACAGGTGTTCTGGAAGACAGTGGAGCAGGCATGCGTCATGCTGATGAGGGTCATAATGCTCGGAACGGGCCTCGACTCGAAGATCAACTATAGAAGATACGAGAGTTATTGGGTGGCCAGCGTTACTGTTCCGTTGTCCCTCCTGATCCTGGCATTCGCCGGCCACGCCACCGACCACTTCCACGTGTTCCACGACGGCTTCTTCCACGTGCAGCTGAAGGTTCAGCTGCGGTGGAAGGAGACCTTGAAGTACATCACTCACAACCCGAGGAGGAAGCTGTCCCGCATCGTGCCGATTCTTGAACAGCACAAGGATCTGGCGCGCCGCCAGCGTCGTGGAAGGACCTTCGTGTACCATTTCTATAGCAACACCGAACTCCCAGGGCAATAGATTGATACTTCTGACGCGCAGGTACATTCAATTGGATTCGTTCGTTTCTTTTATTTTATACAAGAAAATTTATAAAATTAATTGTCATACATAATAATTAAATTGCTTTTATTAAATTACAAAATAACGACTATATTTGATTTGCTTTTTACAGCACTCGCGTATTTGTTCAACAAGCTTGGACACTAAATGGTTGGAAAAATCTATCGTTTTATATATATTAGTACATATGTATTGCAATTTGGTACCGCGTCAAGCATGGTAAGTTCGAGTTTCTTGTGTAGGTAAATAATACTTAAGATTAAAACAATATTTCATTCATTAAATTACGCATAAGTTCGACTTAATTTCATGTAGTTTGCATACCTAAAGAGCACATATGGGAATTACTATTATTATTATTATAAGCCATCTCGTCTCCTCTCGACTTTCCTCTCCAAGCCTTGCATTAAGCCACGTAATATCCGAGATGGGGACTACAGATGGATCGAAGATGGACCGCAGCCATTACGTTGATTCAATGCAAGGCTCTCCAGTGAGTATTCTTGGGGCAGTGGGGGTCACTGTTCTGACAGTGAGCTTGCTGCTGCATCCCATTCGTATTTTATGACCACATTTTACATTAAAGCAGCTGGTTATCTGTAGTTTATCGTTGTTCTACTGCACTTCGCTATCACTATCACTCTTTTCTGAAAGGCATAGATTTCATACATCAATATGGGAGATTAGTCGGCGTTTATCTGGTGATCGTACCCTTCTTGCCCGTGTAGGCGTGACGTTTCAGTCGGTCGTATAAGTCTTCTTTAGTTCCATAGAGCGAGGCATTGGACCTGGCCAGCGTGCTCATCTTGCCGCCGTGCAGACCTGTTGGGGATTAGGGATAAGCGAGGATTAGGAATGATACTTTGACGAGAGACACTAGTACTTACCGTCCTTCATGTACGTTTCGTTGTAGAAGTTGGGCATCTCCCAGCCGTCCTCCTCGTCGTCGTAGTAGTGCGCATAGGTGCTGTGATGGGAGGGGGCGATGGACTCCGCGTAGGGCGTGTGGGCGCCGTAGTAGAAGTTGACCTGCGATCCGGTCTGGTCGATCGCAGGGGTTAGCATCTTCTTGGGATCCCGGCGCTTCGTGGAGCGCACGCAGATCATCCAGATAAGCAGGACGATAATGATGATGAAGATCACCGCTCCGGCAATGCCACCGGCAATGTAGGCGAACTCGGAGCGCTCCGCACAGTGGGGTCCCGTGAAGGAGCCCACACAGCGGCAGGAGGGTGTGCCCTTCAAGTCCTTGACACAGGCACCAGAGTTCTCGCAGAAGCCATCGCACACATCCGTGCAGGCCATGCCCGTTCCATTGAATCCTGGCTTGCACTCGCACTTGAAGTCCGACGTCTCCGGCACCATGATGCAGTAGGCATTCACATCGCAGTGGGGCTTGCCCTCCGCAATGTGCTCGCACGGGTTGGTGCACTCGCTCTTCGAGGTGGCGCCGGTGATCTTGGTGCTGTGGTTCGGAGGGCACTGCAGACAGGTGGTCTGCTGCGACTCCGACTGGTAGAAGCCCTTGCGGCACTCGATGCACATGTTCTGGGTGGCGTTCAGGTACGTTCCCGCCGAGCAGACGGGCAGGGTGCACTCCTCCACCGAACTGGCGCCCACCTTGGGCGTGGTCCTGCCCAGCGGACAGGCGGCGCAGGATGGCTGGACGCCCTGTAGGCGGTATGTGCCACGTGGGCAGGGCTCACAGCGTCCATCGGCTCCCAGTTGCTGGCCAGAGCTGCACTCATCGCGACACTCCTTGCGCGACGTGGCCTCCGTGGAGCGCGTCGTCTGTCCCAGGCCGCACAGCTCACAGCTGAAGGAGCCCTCGTTGGGCTGGTAGAATCCGTGGCCGCAGGAGCGGCACAGACCCGTTTCCGCGTCGAAGTATTTGCCGGCTGGGCAGCGCTCCTTGCAGTCCGCCGCGGAGCGTGCTCCAGGTCCGGCAGTCACTCCTGGTCTTCCCGCAATCACCGGGCACTTGCTGCACTGCAGCTGACCTGCCTCCGACTGGTAGGTTCCGCGCGAGCAGGCTATGCACGTCTTGTTGGCACTGTCGTAGAAGGTGCCGATGGCACAGGGCACACAGTCGGGTATCATCACCACCTGGCCCACGGGACAGGCGTACTCCGAGCCCAGTTCCAAGGAGGCCGGATCCGGCACTGTGTTGGGCAGGATCTCCTGCACTGCGAACTGGTCGTCCTCGAGGATGAGCTTCTCCAGCAGCTGCTTGACGCTGGATCGTTCGCCCGTCGATGTGTGCACCACAGGATCACTGAAGATGAATGGATACGTGGTGGATTAGTGTTGGTTCAGGCGAAAGATCATCGTGTGATTAAAGAACGAAAGTTAATGTTCAGATATAGTTAGGCATAACATGAGGGCTGTAAGTACTATTAGGAATAATCATAAGTATTCATTATATGTTTCTGGGTTATATTGGTGGACACCTAACACTGCTCTGGACATTTGGGGGTAAGCTCGAAGCTTGGGTTAGCACGCATACATGCGATATGAGGTTAGGCAAGCAGGGGTTAGGTCGTTTGGCTTGATTGGATGGATTTTAGTGTTGACTGAGGCGGTTGTTGGTAGTACTGGGTGCAGATTTGATGCTGGGCAGATCGGGTGCATTGGTCGGAATTGGTTATGCGTGGGGTAAACCAACATAGGAGTGCTAGACATACTTCGCAGCCGGGAAGGCTATCTCCAGGGTGTATGTATCGCCGCCAGTTTGTTGGCGTCCCTGGCGACCCGTCAATGTCAGATCGTCATCCTCATCGCTGCAAATTGGGTTAACGAACACACAAAACACATATAGCATATACACAGTGTACACGGATGATCCGAAGGCGGATCAGGACATGCTAGACCGGCGTGCGGTGCTGGGACCTGGGTTCTCATGCAACTACTTACTTGACCACTGGCAGTTCGGCCTCCATCACATAGACTCCGCCATCCTTGGACTGACGACGCACGCGGTTGTTCTGGGCACCTCGGTAGTGGTCGCACTTCACATCGATCTGGATGTCCTTGCATTCCCTGCGATGGGCGGAGTAATGCGTATAAGAAATGAAGCAACGAAAGGAGGAAAACCACCACAAACCTCGTTCCCTCGATGGCGTACGAGCAGAAGTTCCAGTCCCTGTTCAGGCCATTGACCGAGTTGGTCACCTTCTGGCGGAGCACCGCCTGGCCAGCCTTGTTGCACAGCACGTCCGAGGGGAACAGCATCTTGATGCGGAACACTCGCTGGGCGGGCTTCGAGGGTGAGCAGGATGGGTAGACCAAGGGCATTGAGGGTTCCCTCGTCGGTCGCCAGAAGCCCTCGGCTCCGCAGGTGTAGAACTCGGGCACCTGCTCCGAGAATCGGAGACCCGTATTGCAGGCGATCTCGCACACCTTGAACTGACCACCTGCACCCCAGTCCTTGCATACCTGCGATCCGCCAACGGGATCAGCCAAGGCTGGACAGAAGTCGGCTGTGAAATAGATTCGTAGACATGCAATGAGTATCAAGCAGCCCAGTTTCCTTTTGGTACTTACTTAGCAGGGAGACCTTGAAGCTGCAGGATGCAGTGTTTCCAGCTGCGTCGGATGCAATGTAGGTGATGTCGTAGGTGCCCCACAGTAACGTAGATCCGGATCGGTGTCCATTTCGCTCGTAGATCTTGGTCACGCCAATGTTGTCGCTGAAGTGCGGCTCATCCCAGGTGACCACCGCGGATCCGTTCTTGGCAATCACCCACAGATCTCCGGGGCAGTGCTCCACCACTGGTGGCTCCTTGTCCACGACCAGCTGCTGGCAATTGGCGCCCGTGTAGCCCACAGGGCACTTACGTTGTCCGCATAGGGACGGTACATTGCGCTCCACTCCGCCGGAAGTCACCTCGTATCCCGCCCAGTTGAGGATGAGGCCGGGATAGAGAACCGGTTCGGATCGGCAGTCGCGCACCTGCTTCTGGATCTCCGATGTGATGTCGAGGGCCCTGGCCCACACTTGAGCCTTGGTTATGGTGCCCTGGAATCCGGAATCCGAGTAGGCCAGCTCGTTGCTAAGTCCATATGGCTGCGGAAGTCCCAGCACTGCCCAGAGATAGCCGGGCAGCGAGCCACCCGCTCCGTACTCCATCTTACTGGCAATCAGTCCCTCTGTGATCAGTTGAAGCTGTCCGGAGATTCCGTCCCAGACCACGGCGACATGGTGCCACTGGCCGTCGTTGACGGAGGTGTACTCGCCGAAGCTCAGGAAGGCATCTGGCTGGTCCTCGAAGAGCGATACCTGGACTCCACTGGAGTGGGCCTGCAGCAGCATTCGGCGGTGCTGGGTCATGCGGGCGGATTGCACGCCGTATAGGGTGAAGAAGATGCCGCGGTCGTCCTTCTGGGCGAACTGCACCCACATGGCGACGGTCAGGCTGTTCGCCTCGCCCGTGGGGAAGGGAACCACCTGGGCGGCGGTGGATCGCGATGGATCGCTGAAGTACAGATCGTAGTCCACTTGGATTGCCTTCCGGCAGTCGTCTCCGGTCATGTTGAAGGGACACTGGCAGTAGAAGCCGTTGGTGAGGTCCACGCAGGAGGCGCCCGGCGGGCAAGAGTTGTCCTTGCAGTCCACGATGTCCTGTTCGCAATTGCGTCCGGTGAAGCCAGGCGGGCACTGGCAGCTGTATCCAGCTCCATTGTCCACGCAGGTGGCTCCATTCTGGCAGACGTGCTCCTCGCAAGCATCGTACTCGTACTGACAACCGATGCCCGAGTAATCCGCCGGGCAGCTGCAGTTCAGACCCGATCCGAAGTCCTGGCACTTGCCACCGTGCATACAAGGATCGCCGATGCAGCGTTCCGGGGCGGTCTCGCAGTTCTTGCCATCGGTGCCACTGGGACACACGCAGAAGTAGTCCTGGAACAGGTCGATGCAGCTGGCGTCGTTCTGGCAAGGAGCCTGCGCTCCACACGTGGTCACCTGCTGCTCACAGCGCATGCCACTCCATCCTGGCTCGCAGCCGCACTCG